ACTCAATTCGTCGAAGAACTGGTGAACTATCGTATACTATTAATATCCATATCTAAGTCTTTGAGGTGCTTAATTCGTATAATCTCCCCTCCTCGTGGAGAACCAATAAACAGCCTCGCTCAAATTCCATAAATTGCATAAAAGATGCGCTTCTACATGCTAACAAAGTTCAACACAACTTTGAAGTACATTGCAAATTACATGCTACTCAATCTGCAGATGCACAATTACAGTCGACCTCCTATAACACTGTTGATAATTCCGTTTTATATGAATTCCATGTTGTACGAGTCACTTAGATTTTACAAATACGTGAGCCATTCACAGCCCGTCACGCATATCTGTAAAATCTAAGTGACTCGTACAACATGAAATTCATATAAAACGGAATTATCAACAGTGTTATAGAGGGTCAACTGGTATTATTTTTTCGTTTACTACTAGTGTATGTAGTAGTGCCCCAAAATATATGCTCTCCACCTGAAATTAGTAGTGGCTTGCCCCTGTACATCATACTTTTCCTTCAACAATAGAGTCGTGCCGGTTATCTATCTAACACATTTCGGGGGGGAGAACTTTTTAATTGAAATAACGACTTTCGATTTAAATCGGAAGTTTCTATATAGTTAAATGGTGCCTGTTGCCCCTTATGGTTTCTATATCTGATCTCGTTTTTCATCTAACTAGCACTGTTCTTGAGATTAAAGAAAGACAATCGGACGGACGGAATTCACATTGAAATACAATTATATAGTTCATAAATACAATGACTAATAATCTACTATATTTAATATTAAATTTAACATTATATCATTATAGTTTTGCAACGAAACACTATCTTCATACTTTTTGTATACCTTTCAACTGCTCATTTAAATATCCTAATTGAAATGCCAATCAAATAATCAATGACTGGATAACACTTTTAATTAGCATTCTCTTTTCATCATCATCATCCTGCCAAGTTTCGTCGAGATATTTAAAACTTCCACAGATTAATTTAAGTTTTTTTTTTCTCTCCCTGTTCACAATTAATTTTCCTTTATTAGTAAGAAGATAATATTAAATATAAATGGTACATATATTAGCTTTTTCTATTCCTATTCTACTTTATTATTGATTTTCTATTATTAAAATCGATTATTTTGTTACGTGCTTCCATCTGTTGGTATATTAAAATAGTAACTAAATCAAATTTCTTTATTTAGACAATACATAATAAACATTTATAATTCTGTAAATAAAACAAAGCCTTTGTTATTGTTAATTAAACAAAAATATGTAGGGGGGGAATTAATTATAATAATGAAAATATAACCTAATTAAGGTATAGGATGATATCGTATTATTGTATTATCATTATATATGATATTTAGCATTAGAAATAATAATTATTCCAAATATAAACTGACAAGATATGATGTATGATACAGGACATTTCACTCATACCTGACTACAATAACAAGTCATTGACATCAGTCTGCTGCTTTCTTTTCACCCAAAACNATAGCATCCAGACAATCGAACCAATAGACGCCTGTCGTCCACCATCTTTACTGTTAAATCACATGGAAAGTCTTACTTTATCATCGGCAATCGACTTGGAACAATCCATCGTTACTTTGACTAATCTGCTAACTGACAAACCGACGTCCTCTCGCTACGCAAACCAACAACTGTCAACCGAAACGCTGCAAGATGGCGACTGCCATTCGATGCTCTCATTGGTCGATCGGCAGAGAGCGTTCCACTCTACAGAACGTGTGAGGAGACGAAAGTTGGCAATGTTTTTTATAGGTCATCTCCTACTTTCCACAGCCAGAAAACACAACAGCACAGTACATTTACCTCTTTTACTATTCTTACTCTTAATCATCCTAACCTATTACACTCGACCAGTCCAATTATAATTTAATATTTCTTTTTTAATTTATTTTTTTCACTTAATTCTGGAGGTTGTGGGCAACCTCGGAACCCCTCAAAATATCTTTTTTTTCTTAGATATTTGAAAGTGCACACCTCAATCCGAGGCCCGAAAACATCAAATTTTTATATAGTAATTATACACCGAGAATTTATTTTAATATCTTCTTCTTGTTTTCTCTTTAAATACTTTGGTGTTTCGTTGGCGTGTAATTCTTTTCATAGTTAAACGAACACACAACAGGCTCCGGTGTAAAAGGTCAATCGGCTCCGCCCAATGTATGACAACACACAAGAATCGGTGCAGCATCACTGATAACGTTTTTACATCGTCAACCAATGTAATTATTATGATAAAACACGTAAGGTTATAAGCGAAAATTTATATTTGCCATAATGGTTTGGGTAAAATTTAATTCTTATTTTAATTACTTTATTAAAATTAATACTAAATGTTACGCTCCATTAGCCATTCTTTGATCAAGATGAATAGTTTCCAGCATTGTCCATTTCTCACTGCCAATACTACTTTTATTTATTCTCATTAATTTGCTTAGTTTCTAACTAGCTTTAATCACTAAAGTAATAAATATTAATTTAATTTACATCGCTTTATTTTTATAAATTAGAAAATAAAAATTATTTAGAAATTTATTCATTAAAAAAAAAAAATAACACACCAAGTTTGTATTTGGTACAAAACTATAACCAGTTTTATTATATAAAATTACATATATATATTCGCATTAAAAGCATTAGAATTTATAGACTATAATTGGATTTAACATTATCCAGAACCCACGCATTTGTCAAACAATCAAGTAACATAAACAGAATTCAAATTTACCAAATTATCATTCCAGAATTGAAAACAAACTAATAATTTAAAGGGAATTTATATATTTCAAAGTAATAGTTAATACCATAATTTCAATTGATTATATTATAAATGACGTGTTTCGACGGCGTTTATGCTCATTTTTGTTTACGTTCTATTGTGTTTCCCCCCCCCCCTTTTTTTTTACTCTCTTTAAATCGATACAATGTAATAGGAAAATAAAATTATAAATCTTATTTAAAAATATCATCTGACAGAGCTTATTTTTCTTACTTTTTAAGTAAGTTAAAATATTTTATTATTAATATATAATATAAAAATAATAGATCCTCGGAGAGGGCAAGTGCTCTGTTTGACTCCTCTGCGGATGTACGGGATTAATACACGTGGTCGAGAGAGACACGCCAGCCTTTATTTGCCTCTTATCCTTTCTTTTTTAATCAAATAAAACGCGTAGAATGTTTCTTTATTAATAAAAAAAAAATCATTCTTAATTAACGAATTACAGTCGACCCCCCTATAACACTGTTGATAATTCCGTTTTATATGAATTCCATGTTGTACGAGTCACTTAAATTTTACAAATACGTGAGCCGTTCACAGTCCGGCACACGTATTTGTAAAATTTAAGTGACTCGTACAACATGGAATTCATATAAAACGGAATTATCAACAGTGTTATAGGGGGGTCGACTGTAATTCGTTAATTAAGAATGATTTTTTTTTTATTAATAAAGAAACATTCTACGCGTTTTATTTGATTAAAAAAGAAAGGATAAGAGGCAAATAAAGGCTGGCGTGTCTCTCTCGACCACGTGTATTAATCCCGTACATCCGCAGAGGAGTCAAACAGAGCACTTGCCCTCTCCGAGGATCTATTATTTTTATATTATATATTAATAATAAAATATTTTAACTTACTTAAAAAGTAAGAAAAATAAGCTCTGTCAGATGATATTTTTAAATAAGATTTATAATTTTATTTTCCTATTACATTGTATCGATTTAAAGAGAGTAAAAAAAAAGGGGGGGGGGGAAACACAATAGAACGTAAACAAAAATGAGCATAAACGCCGTCGAAACACGTCATTTATAATATAATCAATTGAAATTATGGTATTAACTATTACTTTGAAATATATAAATTCCCTTTAAATTATTAGTTTGTTTTCAATTCTGGAATGATAATTTGGTAAATTTGAATTCTGTTTATGTTACTTGATTGTTTGACAAATGCGTGGGTTCTGGATAATGTTAAATCCAATTATAGTCTATAAATTCTAATGCTTTTAATGCGAATATATATATGTAATTTTATATAATAAAACTGGTTATAGTTTTGTACCAAATACAAACTTGGTGTGTTATTTTTTTTTTTTAATGAATAAATTTCTAAATAATTTTTATTTTCTAATTTATAAAAATAAAGCGATGTAAATTAAATTAATATTTATTACTTTAGTGATTAAAGCTAGTTAGAAACTAAGCAAATTAATGAGAATAAATAAAAGTAGTATTGGCAGTGAGAAATGGACAATGCTGGAAACTATTCATCTTGATCAAAGAATGGCTAATGGAGCGTAACATTTAGTATTAATTTTAATAAAGTAATTAAAATAAGAATTAAATTTTACCCAAACCATTATGGCAAATATAAATTTTCGCTTATAACCTTACGTGTTTTATCATAATAATTACATTGGTTGACGATGTAAAAACGTTATCAGTGATGCTGCACCGATTCTTGTGTGTTGTCATACATTGGGCGGAGCCGATTGACCTTTTACACCGGAGCCTGTTGTGTGTTCGTTTAACTATGAAAAGAATTACACGCCAACGAAACACCAAAGTATTTAAAGAGAAAACAAGAAGAAGATATTAAAATAAATTCTCGGTGTATAATTACTATATAAAAATTTGATGTTTTCGGGCCTCGGATTGAGGTGTGCACTTTCAAATATCTAAGAAAAAAAAGATATTTTGAGGGGTTCCGAGGTTGCCCACAACCTCCAGAATTAAGTGAAAAAAATAAATTAAAAAAGAAATATTAAATTATAATTGGACTGGTCGAGTGTAATAGGTTAGGATGATTAAGAGTAAGAATAGTAAAAGAGGTAAATGTACTGTGCTGTTGTGTTTTCTGGCTGTGGAAAGTAGGAGATGACCTATAAAAAACATTGCCAACTTTCGTCTCCTCACACGTTCTGTAGAGTGGAACGCTCTCTGCCGATCGACCAATGAGAGCATCGAATGGCAGTCGCCATCTTGCAGCGTTTCGGTTGACAGTTGTTGGTTTGCGTAGCGAGAGGACGTCGGTTTGTCAGTTAGCAGATTAGTCAAAGTAACGATGGATTGTTCCAAGTCGATTGCCGATGATAAAGTAAGACTTTCCATGTGATTTAACAGTAAAGATGGTGGACGACAGGCGTCTATTGGTTCGATTGTCTGGATGCTATTGTGTTGCGACGACCGCGAGGCATGCAGGTCGGTAGCCCCGCGTGAATCAAATTTTGGCGATGGTGAGGTGGAGTATATACAACGCCAGTGTATTGAGCCGTGTGGCTCTTCGTATTTTGTTCCTCCTTTGTTGGTTTTTTAATGTCGGACTAGCTTACGAAGTTCATTTGTCTGCCAGAGACAATAAACCTGGAGTTACTCTGTTTAATGCCAGCTTAGGTAATGGAAGATCGTATAGTGTCGATCCTCATCACACACCCAGGTATGTATCTCGACTGGTCCACGTTACACCTCAGGAGGGGGTGGTGTATCTTAGACATAGCGTCAGGTGTGCCGGGTCTCATCTATCCGACCTGGCTACAAATCCTTTTGTAGTTTACGTGCAGTCTCGAAGTTTTCGGCTAAGTGGCTCCGAGACGGAACAAGTTTCTCTTCCTCTTGTTGTGTTTTACAAACATAGAACCTGTCATCGAATTCGGAACATCGTCGAACATTCCAATCTGACTATCGTGTACGTTACCGTTGTAGATCAAGAAGACGGCGTGTGCTACAAAACAAGTCAATTTGTAATGAACTTGGCACGATTGTTGCCCGCTCAGGTGAAAAAATGTGCAGTCGACTTTGAAAAACCATCAGATTCCAGGTATACAATTGAAAAGAAAGGTAAAGATTTTGTTGCCAACACCGATTTTTGTGTTCGTTCGAAATTGTGGCAAGTAACGATTCCTTTTCGTATTAAATGCGTTTCTGATGAAATAAAACAGGTTTTAGAAATAAATTTTCACGTACCTGGACAGCTTTATCAAGACGATTACATCTTGACGGGTCGTAGACGGAGGCGAGAAATGAGAAACATTCCACCTTATTTCGATCGAGCATTATATATAGTTAGTGTACCCGAAGAAAAGGAAAGAGGACACGTAGTAACAACATTAACAGCTACCGATATTAATCAAGACGAGATTACTTATTCCCTTCACGCTGTTCTTGACGCTCGCAGTCAGTCTATGTTTACTATAGACTCGATATCCGGAGTCATTACCACTACAGCGCGGCTGGATCGCGAATATATGGACGTTCATTATCTGAGAATTACCGCTACCGATTCGGGTACCCCTTCTAAAAGTGGTAGCACCACTTTACAGATTAATGTTGTGGATTATAACGATCATAGTCCGGTATTTGAACAAGCAACTTACGAAACATCAATCAGAGAATCCGTGTCGGTTGGATCTACGGTAGTGACGGTTCGAGCTACGGATCAGGACACCGGAACAAATGCAGATGTAGAATACAGTATCCTCAATCCAACAGGCGTTAATGATGCCTTCAGAATAGATCCAAAAACTGGGATCATCACCACACGTTCTGCGTTAGATAGAGAGAGCACGTCAATGTATAGTATTTTGGTTCAAGCTTCCGACTTGGGTCCCGTTGCCGATAGAAAATCGGCAACAACCACAGTGGAAATTATCATAAAGGACGATAATGATAATTATCCACAGTTTACAGAGAAATCGTATACGGTTCAGGTAGCCGAAGATATTAATTGGGTTAACAACCCTGTAATTGCATCAGTTAAAGCCTACGATGCCGATGCTGGAATAAATGCGGCTCTACGTTATAGTTTGATCGGAGGTAATACGCAAGGACACTTTGTTATCGATAGTTTATCGGGGGATATATCTGTGGTATCACCGCTAGATTACGAGTCTGCTCGAAGCTATAGATTAGTAGTTAGAGTACAAGATGGAGGATTACCGTCACGATCAAATACTACTCAGGTATTAGTAAACATATTGGATGTAAATGACAACGATCCAAAATTCTACACATCCCTATTTCAAGAATCTGTGATCGAAAACGTTCCTATAGGCCACAGTATCGTTAGAGTTCAGGCCTATGACGCTGATGACGGTGTTAATTCGCAAATTGTTTACGTAATTCAAAGCAAAATACCCGATATGTCTGTCACTATAAATAAAGATTCGGGTTGGATTGTAACCACTCGAGAATTAGATAGGGAGGAACGAAGTAATTACGAGTTTTCGGTTGTAGCTTCGGATCAGGGTCAACCGTCACGATCGGCAACGGCAAGGGTCATTATCCGGATTCAGGACATAAATGACAACGATCCTATCTTTGATCCGAAAGTATACGAGGCAAGCGTTTCTGAAATAGATCCTCCAGGGACTCCTGTCGTCAGCGTGACTGCAACGGATAGAGACGAGGATCCACGCCTTATCTATCAAATCACTAATGGCAACGTGCGTGGCAGATTTAACATCATCAGCCAAAATAGACAAGGGTTGATATCCATCGCCCAGCCATTAGACTACAAACTGGAAAAACGTTTCGTGCTGACAATCACTGCCACCGATTCGGGAGGGAGAACAGATGTGGCCACCGTTTATGTCAATGTCACCGATGCTAACACGCATAGACCAGTTTTTGAACGTACTCCTTACTCGGCTAGCGTGCCCGAGGATTCACCTATTGGCACCACTGTATTAGTAGTCGAAGCATCCGACGGTGACGTAGGAGAAAATGCTAGAATTACTTACACCATGGATAACGTACCAGAATTTCGAATTGATCCAAATACTGGATCCGTAGTTACAGCTAAATTGTTAGATAGAGAAAAAGTACCGGGATATACTATAGTGGTAACTGCACAAGATAACGGCAATCCACCAATGGCAGATACCACTAATGTAGAAATAGAAGTTTCAGATGTCAACGATAATAGCCCTTCCTTTCATCCTGCAAGTTATACCAGCGCCGTGAGCGAGGATGCTCTTGTAGGAACCAGCGTTTTGCAAATATCTGCTAACGATAAAGATCTAGGACTAAATGGCCAGATAAGATACACGTTTATGGGTGGGGAAGATGGAAACGGTGCTTTTAGTGTGGACCCAACATCTGGTATTATTCGCACGAATAGAATTTTGGATCGAGAATCTGTTCCGATTTACAATTTAATGGCTTTTGCAATCGACAGAGGTTCTCCTTCTTTATCCTCTTCGGTGTCAGTCACGGTATATGTAGAGGACATCAACGACAACCCTCCTAGGTTTGAATCGGATAAAATAAAGCTTTTCGTGCCAGAGAATAGCCCCATCGGTTGGACAGTAGGGGAAATAAAGGCTTACGACCCAGACGAAGGTCCTAATGCCGATATACAATACAGCATAGTGGGAGGAGCCGATGCCAATTCGTTCACTCTTGTTTCCAGACCGGGAGAACCGGCCGAACTCACCACTAGAATCGAACTCGATTACGAAAGTGTGAAGAAAAAGTATAATGTCATTATACGAGCGTCATCTCCCCCATTACGTAACGACGTCGACGTAGAAATTTGGGTGAAAGACGTCAACGATAATGGACCCGTGTTAAATGACTTTACCATATTATTTAATAATTATAAGAATTATTTCCCAGTCGGTCCGATTGGACGTGTTCCCGCATTCGATGCCGACGTTACCGATCAACTTCATTATAAATTTGTATCCGGTAACAATGCCAATCTTCTGATTTTGAACGAAACTACGGGAGAGATTCGACTAAGTCCTAGCCTCAATACTAACGTTCCGATTCATGCCGTTATGGAAGTTAGCGTATACGGTGAGTTGAAACTTTTAAACTTTTAAATAATAATATAATACGCTCGTTAAATTTTCTCCTCGACATCTGTTTAAAATGGACATCTGTTTGCCTTTCTTTTTCACAATATAACCATTTTTTTTTCTCTCTTTTTCATTACAGAAAAAGATGACTAAAAAAAAAATGGCGCATCTCCCTCATAAATCTTAATTCGGTTTAAATTTTAATATATAGCCTATATATATATATATATTCTTTTTTCCATTAATAAAAATTCGATTTGGAATCAAGTATACTAGGGAATACACTCGTGTGTTCTTTCAATCAAACTTCTGTAAATAAAAAGTTCACCAGAATTCAACAAAATGATTACAGCAATTGGAAAATCAATTTAAAGTAAAATTCCACCTTTTTTTTTCTTCTTCTTCTTCTTCTCTCCTTTCCTTATAAAAATGTAAAAGATAAAATAGTAAATGTATAAAATAGTAAAGCGATGGGAGGACTTTAAAAAAAAAGATTTTAATATAATTTATATATTAAAATCTTTTTAAAATATATTAAAATCTGGCTTTCCTCCGAAGCAATAGCGCTTATACATACACACACACATACACATACATACACACACACACCCCCAAAAAAAAGACATTTGTGTTATTTTTATGCCATAAATTTTACAGTACATTTAACTATTTTACAGCTTCTAAATTCGACTTTTTGAAGGTCAAAACCCTATTTATTTAACTGCATTATAAGTCATTACCCTTTAGTGTTTTTTTTTTTATTTGTTATTAATACGTTATACGTGATAATTTTACGTATCATTAATAGGGTGATTAAAGTATAAAACTTTCGGAGATGTTAAAATATTATGAAATCCGATAACGGATGTTCTAATATAATGCTTCTACCATATTTTAACATTGGAAATTTTAAAGGATCTTGTCTAATAAAGTAAAATTAAGGTATCGGGATGCGTAGAAAGATTATTTGAATCTTAGTTTTCTAAAGTAGTGTCATTTGAGTAAGCCTCATTATTATAAATCCTCATTGTCACTGAAAATTCTCGTTAGAAACCCATTTCGAAATTTTTATCCCCCTCGAAGATTCTATTAATATGCTAATGTGTGTTGTATTCGGTTAAATTCTTGCATAAAGTTTTAGTAAAACTTTTTAATTATTATATGTTTAAAACTAATTTAATATTGTCGTGTTATTATTATTATTATTATTAATTTAAAGAAGTTTTAATAGGGTACTTCTTAATGATTAATTTGGGCTCCTGTTTATGGGGGAAACCAGGCAATTGTCCTTTTTGGGCTCCTGTTTATGGGGGAAATCAGGCAATTGTCCTTTTTGGTAATGTTTCCACTTGAAGTTTTCTATTAATAAATAACTTCTGAACTGATATTGTTCTATCTTTATTGAATTGAATGATTTTAAGTTAACTTTTAAAAGAACATTTTTCTTCTAAGGGACCAATGAAAAGCCTAATACCTTTTTGTGTATTTCTTTTATAAAAATAGTTTATTGAACACTGTTTATATGGAAAAAATCGGAGTAAGTATTGGTTTCAGATATTGCTATTTTTTTTTTTGAAGTTTTACACAAAAAATTCGTTGTCAATTTCTTTCTAAATGGTGTAAAAAATTCTTGTATTTATAACAAGTTTGCTATAATAATAGATGTAAAATTATTCTGGTATTATTTCTAAATATTAAGTGAAAATCTTCTTTCCTCCAATTAACAGGTAAATTTTAACTTGCGACCTTCTCAACAATTCGTCCTTCGCTTTCACTTTTCCAAACCTGTTTAACAGACCACCCTTTAAAAAAAAATCGATTAGTCAAAAGCCATCTTATTAAGCTGGAATTACCGAAAAAAAAAAAAACAAATTCCTGTATGAAACTTTTTACATATTAATTGAACCAAAAAATTATATATTTCTAACAGCCAAAAATCAATAATAAAGTTATTATTTATAACACGCGAATCACATCTGATTTGTTTTCATCCGATACTTTCCTTACCTCCAAAGAGATAAAGATGGATCGTACCATTAACACTCCTGCACTTCAATCTAACGTAGGTAGTTCTTTGAATTATACGACGTCGGGAAAAGAATTACGCACTCACCATTACCTAAACCAAACTTCACTTATAAAAATGAAGTAATTATTAAGAGGGGGGAAAAAGAAAAGAAAAGGAAAAAAATCCTCCGAATTCAATCAATACACTCGCGTGAAGAGGAATTGAAATTCTCTGTAGTGTATACGACGTCCCACCCTCTTCGGAAAAATCCTCTACATTAAGTTAACTCCCTTATAAATATGAGTCATAAAATCACCAACCCCCATTATCTTTATTCAGATAAGTATTAGTTATCTAGGTAATTTAGTAGATAATATAAAACTTTTTCTATACTTAAGAATTTATAAAAGTGGTGCCTTAGGTGCGTGTCGATGAAACTTCCGTGACTGGAAAGTCACATAAAGAAAATGTTAAAATTAGTTAGCAGCAGGTCACTCGCATAACCACTAGGTAATTCAAATCTGGAATATATTTATTTATGGTTTAAAATTTTTTTTTCTTCTATATTTTGTTCTTTTCTAACACTATAATATTATACTTTTCCGATTCTAACAGAGGGAAATTATTAAAATATAACCTCCAAAATTTTATATTTTTGAACTCGGGAAACCTTTAAATATCGATAAATACAAAAAAATTTGGGTGTTTTTCTCCTCTCCTCCTATGTATGTGTAAGGGGGACATACACACACACGATTTTGTTCACCCTCTTTCAAGCTTAATTGATAATAACTCCCCTGTTTTCTGTCGAAAATTTCTGAAATTTTGCGGGAAGTTTTGTATATTTCGAGGTTCGATGCTATTAAATTTCGGAGGTTAAAGGTCGATGGGGTGGGGAGATAAAAAAGGGGGACGATTTATATTACAGTAGACCCCCCTATAACACTGTAGTTAATTCCGTGTTATATGAATTCCATGTTGTACGAGTCACTTAGATTTTACAAATACTTGAGCCGTTCATATCCCGGCACACGTATTTGTAAAATCGAAGTGACTCGTACAACATGGAATTCATATAACACGGAATTAACTAGTGTTATGGGGGGGTCTACTGTATATAGCCTATATATTTTTTAAGCTATTTGCAATTTTATAATAATTACAAATNGATAAGCGGTTTTGTGGTCTATTATTATTATGAACATCATCGTTGGCATCACATAATCGATGTATTAAATTCTAATTTTGCATATGTTTATAACTATGAATAATATCAAACCGGTTATAATGTCATCTGTCTTTTTTCCTTAACCGTTGACTCACTGACGTGAATTTTCCTATTGTACTTCTTTTCTTCTTTCAATTGTTTCTTTTTTTTTTTAAAGTAAGCATCACACCTATAAATACTTATGCCAATATTCCAGTAAGGAATTAGAATGAAATTTTTCTAGAAAAATTGAATTTTTTAAAAAACTATTATACGTTTTGAAGTTTCAAACGTAAATAAATTAAATTATTAATTATTATATTAGTTTTCTCGTGAAATTTTATAGAAAAAAAAAGGGGAGGTAGACTTAGGAATTCAATCTCCTTCATCACATGAGGCCACTTTAAGGTGCATCAAAACAGGTAGAGATGACCCCATTTCTAGATTTTTACTGTCTTAAAAGTTAACCAAAACAGAGAAAATACTCTATTTTATAAGCAATGTATTCAATTTTTTTTTTATTTTTTTTATTTTTACCTTTATTTAACTCGAATCACCTGATGCATGTTTGGAATTATTGCATTACATCTGATTGCCGTACTCATTAATCTTAATCAGAATACGTAATCAAATTTGATCGATTTGCAACTCAAATATGCAAGACAAATGATGATAATTTTAAAATACAACATTAAAAAGAAAGTAACTTAATGCATGAAATTGGGATTTTGTATTTTAAAGAATGGACGTTCATTAAAAAGCCATTCGAATAATTAAAAAAAAAAAAAAAAACTTTTATCGTTTCTAAAACTTATCATAATTACTTTCATCGGGTTAAATTTTAATCTATAAAGTAGATTCGTTTATTATATAAATTAATTAATTAATAACAATGGCTACTGTATACAGTCGACCCCCCATAACACTGTTGATAATTCCGTTTTATATGAATTCCATGTTGTACGAGTCACTTCGATTTTACAAATACATGTGCCAGGCTGTGAATGGCTCACGTATCTGTAAAATCTAACTGACTCGTACAACATGGAATTCATATAAAATGGAATTATCAACAGTGTTATAGGGGGGTCGACTGTAGTTTTTTTCCTTCCCTATCTTTTCTATCAAAATTTAATAAAGTAAACCTATAAAATTTTTAACTTATGAGTAAAAGTTACATTTGGAATTTTGTTTATTCACTTAATATTTCATATAAAACACTTACAATATAAAACAATACACATAAATTAAACGTATAGGCTATATAAAAAGCCATTCTAAACGAATCAACAGTTTTGTTAGATAAATTTCCAAAGATAATAGTGTTATTCTTCTATACATTCTGGGTTAAAAGATTTAAGATTATTTATAATTTATTTATTCCTTTAATAAATAAGGGATTATACATTATTATTATTATTTTTTTTTAACAAATTGTAACTACAAGTTACTTAAGTCTACTGGCAATAAGGACAACTATGTGACATGTTTTGAAGTGTATCATCTTCGTCACTATCATTGTATAGTAAAGAATTAAGGTAACAACTTGTCAACTTGTCCTACATTTTATCCTCAGAACTGTCAGCATTTGTCTCCTATGCCATTTCCTATATTTTTCTTCGGACACAACATCTAATGACTATGATTCTTATTTCCTTATCTTTCTCTGTCTAAAGTAATATATATATTTTTTTTAAATTAATTTAATAAATAAATAAATACGAAGTTGTGTAAATGATAAAGAATTTATTTATTTATTTAACCGATATTATAAATTTTTATA